GGATATATTCCTTTGCTTATAATGACACCAAAAATGGTTTAGCTACAAAAGGTTAGCCTTTGGGAGTACATTTATAGGATATTTACATGTCAAGTTATTCCGTGGACAGTTGTCTATTCATCATGTCCATTGTTCATCATTATTCGTGGCTTTTGACGAATAACGAATTTATTTTCTCTCTGTTCGAGAGGATATCATTTCCGACTCATGTGAAATATCTTCTTATGCCCTGTTTCTTTCATTTGCAGATTCCGGAGCTCCTGTTCCCATTTGTGTGTCGGCCTGCGGTGTGTACTAGCCCCTCCCCTGAGTTGTGTTTTCCAAGTAGTGGTAAACTGCTGGGCCTTTGAAGCCCCATTGGTCGCAATAAGCTGGTGTGATGTAGTCGAATAGAGCGCCATTCGGCATGGTCATTGGCAGAATAACAATGTGTGCCCAATCTTGGCTTGTTGTAATTTGGGCTTGTTTCTCACTCTGGATGAATAAAAATGCAGTTGATTTGAGGTACATCCTGACCAATATCTGTCCATCTCTTGGGTGTTGCTGAACATAATATCTGTCTGAAGCTCACTTGAATAAATACAGTACTACTACTTATACATGTATATTTATAGCAATCAATCAAAATTGATGAAGCACTAGCAATATACTAGCAAAGCCTGTACTGTACTCCCTCCGTCCCAAAATAAGTGTCTCAACTTTGTACTAACTTTAGTACAAAGTTGTATTAAGGTTGAAACACTTATTTTGGGACGGAGGAATCTTATATACACATACTAGCAATATACTAGGCGGGGGCGAGGATGGACATGAAGACGGTGGACCAGGCGGTGAGGGCGAGGGCGGCGACGAGGTAGGTCCAGAGGAAGACGACGGAGCACTCCTCCTGGGCCACGTCGTAGAGCTGCGCCATGGTGCCGATGCTCATCGCGGGCGGCAGCGCGAACTGGAGCATCAGCACGTACTGGTACAGTGGGTCGGGCGGCAGGAAGCCGAGCTCCCTCGCCGTCCTCACCACCGCCACCCCGACCACCGGCAGGATCACATAGCGCACACAGACGATGGCCGTGATCACCCACCGCGACATGGTCGTCTTGCGCAGGCCTGCACACAGACCATTTTTCAGTTTTCAGATGGTCTGAGACTGACAGACTGAGAGAGAGATTCAGTTGTTGTTTACCTTTGGTGAGGTTGCCTCCAAGGATGAGAATCACA